TTCAAGGCATCCAATGAATCTACCTGCAATCTGACAGACGTGTGACAGCTAATGACAGCAGATGAGTTATTGATCGCAACAGTCGGAATTACATGACTTAGCATGAAAATAAGAAGCTTATCCTTGCAGAAAATTAAATGTTCATATGTAATTGCTAATAAACAAAACAGCTTATGATCTGAGGATACTGACATTGGACTTGTCTAGACAAAAATCAGCCTATATCATCTGATGTGTAAGATCTATACAAACTGACATGTACTGTAACTGCAATATCATAAAAATGTGACACTGAGATATTTGTTAATCACACCACAAAGAATAAAAGGAAAAAATAAAACACTTGATGACTTGCATTGACAGCCAGTCCAGCATCTTAAGCTGGCACAAGTCTGATAACATATCTCAGTATCCGATCAATCCATCCTTTACTTGGTAACAGTTCACTAAAAGAAAGATGATAACGTCTAAGTGCTTTAATTACAGCAAATTAATCAGGTACTAAAAATACTGAAAAGACTCTGAACATGCACACTTGTGCAAACTTAATATGCTTCATTGCTGTGAACATGACAATAGCAGCCAGCTCCTCTAGCTCCCCTAAATTCAGACGAATATTAATCAGAGCTTAAATTAGACTGACTATCTTTATCCCTTCCCTTCGGCGTCAACTCTCTAAAGTAAAAATAGCTATGAGCAGTGAATGAATAGACGTGCAGAGCAATCCATATTGATCCCTCCAGTGGGTGAGACAGCATTTGCAGCTTACTGACACGGCCCTGAGACTTAGGATGAAAAAGTTTCAGTCTCTATACGCAAGGTCTCTTTAAAGATCTAACAGATCGATGCTCCCTACTTGTTCACATATTACTCCTAAGAAGAAATGTACATAGTGTGTCAAGACAAGCAAGTGATTTTTACCCCATCTTAGCACTTCAACTAAGGAATGGTATGAGAAACAAATATTTTACATTGCTCAGGCGTCAACAGATGCACAGATAACTTACTGAGGAATGGCAGAACTTGGGTTATATTTTACTTTGTAATGTTCTTGATCAAAACTGAAAATTCTGTGCAAATCAAATCATCAATGACTCGACCGATGAATATGCACATATTCAAATTCGGTGTGATCGTTTCAGCCTGTTAACATCAAACTTGCCTGATTCCACTATATGCAGATATCTGAGAGCTGCAGCTGAGGAGACTATTATCAGTAAATAATGACAAATTTCAGCTTTCTTTAAAACAACACAATTTAAATAAAGTTTTAAAAGCTGCAAAAAGAAAAGTGCACCTACGTATCAATGGCGTTGAGTTAAACCTCTCAAAATGGTGCATGTAACAATATTAATCTGTTTCCGCCCTTTCTAAGCCTAAGTCTGAAACCTTCAGAACAAAGCTGCTACACCAACACTTTGGTGTATTTCCAATATCTGCAAGTCAGCCAGTTTCAATACGAGTTGAGTGACCAGCTTTCAAGGCATCATTCTGTAAATCCTATTTCTCATTCACCAAGCATTTTGAATTTTTATGACACCGTTAAATAAATATCAAACTTGTATACTTTTCATACCTTGAGATAAGTTTCTCTCACTTGCAAACATTCTGTAACTTTATCAAATGCATGAAAGCCTCCTTTGGGTTTCCAGTGCGTGTATCTTTTCCTAGCCTCCAGCAAAGAAACATGACTGCAATCTTTTCTACATTCTGTAAATGTAGTTTCTTCTGACATTCTAAAGAAGTGAAATTAACTTCTACAATGTCAGTGGCATGGCATTTGAGATGCTTGGGAAAATCAGTACTTTCTTGCCTTTCTCCCTTGTGACCTGCAACATAATGATTCAGTCATGATTCCCTGATCTCCAAATTACACTATTCGGTACGTGTTATTTTGACTGGGTCATTCTAATATGCTGATTTGGTGCTCAAGAGACATTTATGTTGCTTAATATTTTTGTGGAAACCATGATACAAAGGCTACGTTCACACTGTCAGTTTTTGGGATTGACAACCACATTTTCTTTAAAGGTGTGAGTCTCGAAATGTCCCGTTCACACAGCAACTTACAGTTGTGTTTAGAATACTGTCTGTATGAACGTGCAACGGGAGTCAAGCCCGTAGGCCCTATTCCTTACCAATAACCATAGCAACAGTGACCAAAGTAAAATCAAATATGGCGACGTCCATAAAACTGAAAGTCTTATCACTTTCTGACACGACAAGAGTCCAATCGAGCCGCAAGTTCTTTCGTCAAATCTTCATTAACCAACAGCAGCTTTTAAATTTGGGTGGAGAGCATTTGAATCGCGCGCAGAACACAAAACTGACGGGATCTAAAGCTTTCAGATGACACGCAGCTCATTTCTCCGTCACTGTAAGTTACCGAAAACACACATGAAAACACATAACACACGGTAGACGCGCGTTTGTGCGGCAGAGCGGCTCTCTCTCGTGCTGTATGACGTGACAGACAGCTAGTCCAGTCCAGTTCCGTTCACACAGCACGTGTGTTCCGAGAATGCGGTTGTGAGTCCTGAAAATTTACAGGTGTGAATTCGGTTACAGAATGCGGTTGTCATGCCCATAAATAACCGAACTGTGTGTGAACGTAACCGTATTAAGGACTCAAATACAGGACTGACAACCGTATAACACCTGTCACACCTACTGTGTGAACGTGGCCATATTTTCCAGGTTTGTTTGAGGAGTAGAAAGTTCCAAAGAACAGCATTTATTTGAAGTACAATTTGTTGCAAAAGCGTTTACTGTCTCTTTTGATTAATTTAATGCATCCTTGCTGAATAAAAGTATTAATTTCTTCCAAAGAAAACAAATCTTATTGACCCCAAACTTGAAGAGGCATTGTGTATATAGGTCAGAATTTCGAAACAGGTCCCCCTTGCATGCTAAACGAAAACTCAATGCACCATTAGACTAACTTGTCTTAGATAAGGAATAACCCTGCTGAATGACTGCCACAAGTCAAGTACCCAAAAACCAAAACTGTGATCTGAAGAACTTTATACATAAAAAATTAAAATTTTAATCTCTAAAAAAAAAAAAATCATTGCCAACTCGACTGCCCTATATAGCAGAAACTGGTTCTTGTAACAACTTGTCAATTCTTTGATCAAAGATAAGAGCTTGCGCTCTTCAGAAGCTGTATTCTGGAACGTACTATCTTTCGAGTTTCTTCAGCGTTGCATACATATTAGCAATGTGTTGCACCACATCAGTCTCTGAGTCTGCCTTAGAGTGGGTGGGAGTCTCTCACCGTTTTGATCTTGAATCTGTTCAGGAGCCTGAGAATGCAAATGTCTTTGAATGTCTCCTGTGACTATGTAAGCGCTCCGTCACCAGGCCATTCCAACAAATTTCTCTACTCAATTTTACACACAGGAAGCATACCTGCATTCCTCTTTTTATATATGTCAAACTTTTCAACATAACATACATATTTCTGCCACTTAATGTCAGTACCATGCATATCTCACATGCATAAATCTAGTGTTCTGCTGTTTTATAATGTGTAAACATCACTCTAAAAGCAGAAAAGGATGAAACATTCAGCAGAGCATGAACTAAGCAGCCCTCCAGCTGAGTAATACTGCTGTGTCTTGTTCATTCAGGCTTGGTTTCAGCTTATATGTCTCATCCCTGATGACCAATCATGAAGCAGAATAAAAAGTTTTTAAGAGCCAAAGCATTTATACAAAAACACCCAGAGCAAATAATGTATGAGATCCCTTGAGATGATACAGCAAGACTCTTTAAACAACCATACTACAGTACAAAGTGTTTAAAATATATAATCACTCAGAGTTTTACAACAGAGCTGAAGGGAGTGCCCGTTTTTCAGTGGAATAAAACAGCAGGCCAGCAGTACAAGTAAGGAGTTACACTCCCTAAAGATCCATTATCTGTAAAGATGTGTACATTTTTGTGCATACACCTTTAATGTAAAACATATTATCAGTTACTTTATTCTCTTGACTGTATGCCGAGACAAGACATCTTCAAAATGCTGACTACAAAAGGTTAGGATATAATTCTAGCATTTGGCCCTATCCAGGATGTAAATTACAGAATTGGGTACAGTATGAGGTAAAAAATTAAACTCTAACAATTAAAAAAAAATTTAATTGCATGTCATTATTTAAAATTAACTGGAGGCCATCCATCACCTGCACAGATAAAGTTACTTATTAGAGGTAAAATGTTTTTTTATAAAAGCATAGGCATTTAAAGAATCTAAGGAATGTCAATGGAATTGATATCATATTTGGAGCCAGACCAAGTAGGGTCAAACAAGAATCTAAGAATCAAACAAGATACTGAATAAACTGTAATTCCTATTTTCAGTTAATTTTTTTTCAAAGATCCAGTATTATTAGGCTATATGATTATAGGAGGGTTCTTGTTTGATCTTATTAAGACTCCCAAAACCCCCTTTGCTTTCCAAACTAAAATTCTAATATTATCATATTTCTATAAATGTAAACTTTTTGTTTCACAATTGTTTTGCTGTTTACATGTTGCTATATTTGTCATAATACGCTATGTAGTGACAGGTTCCATTGTTAGTTTACAAAGGTAAACGTATACTGCATCATAGCACTGTACAAAGAACTGTATATGTTTTCCTATGCAAGAAGGGTGGAAATGTCGAATACTTTAATTCACTTTCAAAAATAATTCGACCCTTAAAAAATATTTACCGACGTTAATGAGTGACAACTTGTCCCAGTTTCCTTTACAAACCCCATCATTCCACAAATCAACTTTAATAAGCATGCAATAGCAGTAAAATCACTAGATCATGTGACATAAGTTAAGTGATGTTGATTCTTCACAATATTCATGACCTCACAAAACTGGTTTACTGGAACTTGTATCGCCAATACGACACAGAGTAACAATCGATAAGTCGTCATTCAATGCAAGTTTCGAGAAATGACAGATAATTACAGCGACGTTGTCCTCAGAGATAAACCTACCTCGCATTGGGCTTTGAATCCAGAGGATTCCCCCGATAAGGTGCGGAGACTGCCCTAACATCATGGTACCAGAGCAGGTGGTCGAAACACAAACGAAACACCTGTCTAACAGAAGCGCCCAGCTCGCGCGCCTTATGAAAGCTGATTAATAATAACGCGCTCGCGCAAGTCCGCAGCTCCTCAATGAAGAGCGCATCGCATCTCAATGACCAACGTGAAAGAGTCGCACAAAATACGGGTTCTAAACATTAAAATGGTTAACTCGGAGTAGGAACATGCTGTATGGTGGTGTTCTGTTCCTCTCAAGGGTGTTCCGCGGTGAGATGTGAATCAGTGGGTGGACGTGCAGATGCTGAATGATGCAGATCGTGAATCTTTACAGTACATGCATAGACTGATCTCAAGCCCACGGGCCCCGTGAGCCCATCTCTATGTCATACGTTTCCAGCGCAAGAGCAGAGCAAAGATCTGCGGCTGATCGGCAGCCAATCATAATCCCAACCCGGCTGTGGGGAAGCGATGTTTGTTTGATTGTTTGCTGTTGAAGCGTTCTTTTCAATAAACAAATATTTCCGCAGAAATTCATCTTGAGACGTTTGTTGAAGTCTTACCTTGAACAGCCATGCCGCTACTCCATGAGTTCGCGCATTATGGGAAGGTAAAGAAAGCTGTTGGTTGTCTGAGTACCCCACTCTGCCAAAGCGTCTTGCTTATTAACACTTGCAAGCAACCTCTGTCAAAGCCGAGTGTGCTGGAAAAGCGTGAAATGTGTTCCCAAAGAACCATGGGTATTGTAGTTCCACCTTAAAGTTACTGGATATGTAACCACGTTGTTAGACCGGTTTCAACTCATTATATTAGTCTATCTATCTATCTATCTATCTATCTATCTACGTGTGAATTTATTTATTTATTTATTTGACTATGACAATTACATTTATCCAAAGCAATTTACATGGGAGAATAGTAGGCTGAAATAAATGTGGGTTAAACATATGAAAGTAAACTGGTTGTCAACTCTGATTAAAAACTCTGATGTTTATTCACATGTTTGAGAATTATGTTTGAAGAAATTTATGTTGCTCATAAATGTGTCTGCTATTTGTTTTCATAGAAATTGTACTTGTGTAACTGTGAACCTGTTGCATGCCTCTAACTCATTGAATATTAATTTTGAAAAGTTCTATTGTGACATAGAGATTTCTTCATTGTTATAATTTCTAACATGTTTGAACGACATACGTATAAATCTTAACCTATGAAAAAGGCACCTTTAAAACTTTGTGGTGGCCTCTTTAAAACACGTTTTAGGTCAAAGTTGGTATGCTCTTTTCTAATATGGTAGTTAGTGCAAATGTTTCTCTTTACTCTTTCAGCTCTAGCTGTCCAAAAAGGACAACACTGAATCAGAACAACCGGAGAGCAACATAAATTCTTTATTGAGCTCTTAATCTGGACCCGTGAAAGAGTTTGACATCCCAGGATGACACAGAAGCTATAAAGTGGAGAATGCAGAGACTGAAGAGGCAACATTATAGATACAGATCACTGTCTGCGGAACTCAGGCTTTCTCAGTTCCTTTTGCATGAGTGAATACAATAATGATGAGCATGAATCCTTTAGAAATGATTATCATGTAAACCTACATCCCTATCACTGTATGAACTGATCACATCACAACCTACTTTAGGTTATGGGAAATGTGTAAGAATATATGTCATCTATAATTATATATGGTTCATTTAGGTTCTTCTGTGTGGCAATATAAAAGTATTTTGAACAGGTTTAGTTGAACAAAAGAAAAACTGCACAGTATTGTTTCAAACCCACACTAATGCAAGTATACATTAGAGTACACTTCTAGATCAATTTGATTACAGTTGGAACCCCTTGGTGGACATCATGGATCCTGGAACAAATGATGTGGGAAACCACGATTTTGGGTCTGACCAAGTAGCTTTTCCTGAAATGATACTTTTTATATTAATTTTATTTTGTTTTCATTATGGACACTCAACATTGCAAATATATAGCAAATGTGGAACATATGAAGTGTAGACTACTATTACTCCATTCTTCTAAATTGAAACCTTCAGGTGGAGCAACAAAGCTTGCCTGTCCATCAGGTCCAGGTATAAGATTTTGTTCCACATTTTTATGTTATGACACAGCATTTCCTCTAAATGTTTTTTTTTTTTATCCGCATTCCTGAAGATTACAGTCAGCTCTTGTTTTTCTGGTTTCCAGACAAATGACAATCAAAGAACGAATGTTTGGCATTACTGATAAGGTTTGATCTGTGACTGAACACGTTGCTCCGCTGCTACATGATTGTCTTCATATACTTACTGTAGGTTGACACAATTCCCATAATCTTCCCATAAACATGCTACCATTTGTTACTGTATAATGTAATGTATTTTGAAAGATTGCAGGCATTTTTTCTTTATTTGCATTTTAAATCACCCTGAAAGAAAAAAGGTTGTTCTTGTGTTTCTTGTAATGTAGGCTACTTCCAAATTTCCAAATTGTCAAAAAACAGCATCTGTGGATGAATTTGTTAAGGACAGGTTTTTGTCATCATTTTTACACTAATTAAAACAATGACCTCTCTTGTTTTGCTCAAATACTTGCATTTTGTTGGTTCTTCAGCGGTTCTTTGGGGTGTTTAAGGTGCTATATAGCACCACTCCCATACAAAGAAGCCGTTAAGCCCCTGTATAGCCTAGTTCTTTAAAGGTTCTCTAACTCTTCCTTAGTCTAGTTGGGGAAAGGATTAAAAACGACATTAAAATACAGTGCATTTCCTGAAGATAATGTGATTCTCAACCTTTTTGCCCTAAAGGCCCCCCTATAAGTAAATATTCCAAGACCCCCACATGAGACTTTTTGACCTCAGAAAAGCATAAAAGTGATTCAAAACAACTTTTGCCATTGTAGTAAATTCCCATTCATAGCAAACATATGAAAGTGGAGTAACATATCTAAAATATAAGGAGAAGAATGGGGTTCCTCTTACGGTTCTACATAGCACCATTTGACAAAGGTGCTGTATGATTAGTTTTTTTTTTAAAATTTGGACCTTGAGTCTGTAATAAAGATTGATTGATTGATTGATTGATTACAAGCCAATGAACCACTTTTAGTGCTATTTAGCGCCATTTTTGTTTAGAGTGTATACAACATGTACTAAATGCAGAGGTGATATCCAGATTATAGTGACTGCAAATACATGGCAAGGAGCAAATTGTAGCGTTAGCCCACTGCTCCCTCTTCTGGACGATTTACAGTATGAGAAATAATATGTTATCAGAGTAGCCCCTTTTATCTCTACTGTATAGCCTTTTAGCATAGTCGTTTGAGCAGTTTCTTAATAACAAAGTATGATTCAATGAAACAAATCTTTGTACATACACACACATAAGTGAGCAAACACAGCAAGAGCTGAGACAGCTCAGAAAACTCAGTCTGCAAACTTACAAACTGTAATACATACATGTAAACACATAGAACACTTAGAACCATAATAATTTAATAATATAATTTAACATACATTTCTATATTTTATCAAAAGCAGCTAAATCTTTCACATTCAGTTCAGAGTCACCACACTGTGTCAGTCTTCTGTCATACTAAGAGAGTAATAATGACACCATCATCCCGGCCCTGCCACAGCATCTCCCCCTCAAAAGCCACCTTTCCATGCTTCCTGGCCCTCATTAGTATGCCCACGACTTTATCAGAGATCCGTACATATCTGTCAAACAGTTCGCCAAAAGTCACTCTAGTGTAACCGTCTTGCTGCCCTCTTTGGGCCTGCCGTAGCCCTCCTCACCCTTCCGCAGCCGTGTTAACATGGAGTACTCATAATCAAAGTCCTTGCTGAAGGGGTTGAGCTTCTGATTGATGGTATGTTCCGATGCCCAGTTTTGCCAGCGGCTTTTTAAGTTGCCCACAGCACTGTGTTTTTTTGACAAGGCATTTATTTTGTTGGCATCTTCGACATCCTTCTTTCCCCTAAGAATATTGTGCATATTATTTATAAAATAATGCAAATTGTAATGCTAGTAGGCTACTTACAAATAAAGTGTAGCATTGTATGTACTGTATGTAGTTTTGTGTATTTTTGTGCCCCTGCAGTGAGTGGAATTCAATGCAGTAAATATTTCACTGGTCATTACAGTGGTTAGCTGTACACATGCATTTGATGCTGCCATAAAGTAATCTGCCTTTTTCACAGAATTTCGTAATTTCTCAACAAACTCCCAGAACAGATGTTTGGAGGGAGCATGGGAAGGTCATTCACCTTGTTAGAAGTGAGTAAACCATCAGAATGATGATGAGCGAATCTTTTGTCTTTATCATTCAAAAACGCTGATTCATTCAGTAACAAAACAAATTAATTTTTTTTGAGTGAGAATCTTTTACCAATTCTTTCAAAAACGCAGATTCATTCAGGAACTAAATAAGTAGGCTAATTGTATTTATGAGCAACTGAATACTCAATTGAACATATTTTTTCAAAAACACTAATTCATTTGGAAAATAAACTGAATCAATCATTTAACGGTTCATTCAAAAGCACTGTTTCATTCAGAAACACTACTAACTTGCTTGGAGACACACAGTGGTTAATTCTGCTGTGGATTTTTTAATTTTTTTAATATATTTTAATTTAATTTATTTTTTGATGTCAAAAAGTTGGTGGAGTTGCTCTGAATAATCAGTATGGCTGTAAAGCTTGTATTGTATTGCTTATATTACTAAGTATTATAGCCTCATAAAAGCCCTGTTGGTGAATAAATGGTGCACTACATGGTGCAGATTACACACACAACATTTCCATCAAACACAGCATAAGTTATAAATACATTGATTTACAACATCTAAATATTACGACAGACTAACCTTTCGTATAAAATATCACACAACATATGCTTTATTGCTTTTTGTTCTAAAACAACAACAACAACAACAACAACAAAATTCCACATTTTATCTTATCTGTTATTAGAAGACCTTACCTGAGAACAGTGGATCTTTTGATTGTGACCACAGACTCTGTATTCTCATTCTTCCTATTATTACTTGTGTCCTCCTGGTTGGTTCCTAGCTGCAGGTTTCCATCCTCATTATCCCCACCGTCCTCCTGAGCCTGCTTTTTCTCCTTTTCCATTTCCTTCCAGGCCCGGGTCAGCTCCGAAACCATGTTGGAGCACTTCATGCGGCGTGTGGGCGACCCTTTCTTGCTTAGCATCTTGTCCAGTTAATCCGTGGCCACGTCCTTACAGATGCGTTTGGTCAAAAAGTCAATGCCCGCACTTTTCTCCTGTACTTCCCTTGTCACAGTTTTCACCACTTGTGTGGTTTTGATGCATGACTTTCTGGCGGCCTCCACATCATCCTGGTTTTTATTTCTAGGGTCCTGATTGGAAAGAGACTTCTGAGAAGGTTTGATCCTTGGAGCTATTTTTTTTTTGCATCTTTTTTGGGGTCCTCTGTGTAACTCGGGGCCCATCTGCTGGGTTCACT